ACTGCCTGTCTGATATAACATTTCTAAACGATAAATAGTTTTAGGGGATGTACAAAATTCTACGTCAAGAGTTTTGAACTAAAAAATATATTGATTTAAATTTTTGTCTACAGGAATCTTCCCAGTACATTTGGATTGAGGATAAAATTGAACTATTAATAAAAAGTTAAAGATTATGGTCTAGAATCTAGATACACGTTATACAGGATGTTTTACAAACTTGGAGAAGATATAGCAATTAGGGTGCATTATTAATAATAAGCATTTTCAATAATCAGAACTTCAACGGTGCAAAACGGTGCTTAAAATTTATAATACTCGAAACTAATACTTATTGATAACCTCTGGAATCGTCTCCTACATAAAAAGACATGAATAGTGACTGCAAACAGCCTACTTTTTTATAGTACACGGAAAAATTGGTAGTTTAATTTTATGTTACCATCAGTTCTACTTTAGTTTAACTGATGTTATTTATGTTTCCTGGATTTTTTTTTTATTAACTATGTGTTCTTTTTGTGAAGACAGTTAGTTTGTGTTTTTTATGTGTTAATAAGTGCGAATAAACATACTAAATTGAAACAGTGATATAATATGGAGTTTATTGATGAATTCAGTGGTTCAAAAAATGTTACTTCGCTTTATCGTGGCAAGTCAGTAAGTATTAAAAAAATATTACACTTTTAAAAAATATTTCTGATCCTCGAGTTATCAACCTCAACTTATTTTCTCTTCTTTACTTTCCAAGCTTGCAAAGACTTTTTTTTAACAAAAATAAGAAATGTTGAATGCATCTACATAAATACATATTTTTGTTATATTATTCAAAAGTCATGTAATCTTAAGCTACGTAAATTTTTAGACCTATGTAAGAAATAAATTACTAGAATACATTTCTCTGTGCCTACTTTACTACATATTCTTAATTGCTGCAAAAATTTCAAAGTGATTTATTTTACTTGCTACGCATTATTTGTTCTTGTATAAATACTAAGTGTCAGCTCCATTTCATTATGTAAATAACTCTGCTTTTCTAAGGTTATTTAGAAGCAGCAAATTTGTCAAATTTCCCGTAATGTTATTTGTTAATAACTATTAGTCGAACCAAATTACATTGGGCGAAAAAAAAAATTGTTACGTGGACTTTTATAAGTGGAAATGGTAAACCTAAAAAAAATAAATGCGCGAGCAGGGGTGGCGGAGGGTTGATTTGAGGGGTTGAAAAGTTGTGGAAAATTGTATCATTGGGATTTCTGGCGAAAGTTGACGTTAAACGCAAAAGTTGTAGATCATGCAAAAATCTACAACTTTTGTAGAGGTCACTTTTTACGATAACCTCAAAATTTCCGAGAAAAATGCGAAAAACAGGTATTTCTCTGATTTTTGGTTTTTTATTTCTCATTTGCGCAAAAATAACTTAATTCTGACGAAACTTGGTGAAAGTATACCTTTCTGTGTCTTAAATAACCACAATTTTTTTTTAGATAAAAAAATCAAGAAGTTTCCGAGATATTCATTTTTTTCGGTCTGAAACACTTTTTTTTCAAAGAAGAATTCTACTTAGAAAAATCGTACAGAGTTCTGCCGCTGATCATTTTTTTCGTTTTGACATATACTTTTTGTGGAATAAAAAAATCTGTAACCACAGTTCAAAAACATGCTCAAAAATGAAAAAAATATAAAAAATGACTTGCAACAATGAATTTTTCAGTAATTGTTGATAATTTGTTTAAATTAAAAAAAAATCAACTGATTACACGGAATTCTACGGATAAAATACAAAAAAAAACTGTCATTGTTTGACCCAAAATTTTATTTTTGTACGATATTGCTATAAACATCTAAGTCGAATTACAAATGCACAAATTGTAAATCTCTGTATGATTTGAGATTTCAGCAATACAAAGTATTAACTGCAAAGTCTACCTGTTGACGTGAAACCCGAAAAACCCGATATTTTGCAAAATCGTTTTATTTTTTTACTGGCTTTATTTGAAAACGAATTTTAAAATAAATTGCAAATTTACATTGCCACTTTTTTATTTATATTTATATTATTTATTTTATTTATTCACTATTCGACTTATCTTTATAGCAATACTGTACCAAAATAAAGTTGTGGATCAAACAATGAGACAGTTTTTTTTGTATTTTTTCCGTACAATTGAATGGTGTAATCAGTTCTTGATTTTTTTTAAATTTAACCAAATTATAAACAATTGCTGAAAAATTCATTATTGCAAGTAATTTTTAATTTTTTTTGCATTTTTGAGCATGTTTTTGAACTGTGATTACAGATTTTTTTTATTTCACCAAAAAGTATGTCAAAACGAAAAAAATTATCACCGTCACTCTGTACGATGATTTTCCTAAGTAGAATTTTTCTTTAAAAAAAAAGTGTTTCAGACCGGAAAAAACGAATAAAAACGAAAAATCAGAAAAATACCAGTTTTTCGCATTTTTCTCAGAAATTTTGAGGTTATCTTAAAAAGTGGCCTCCACAAAAGTTGTAGATTTTTGCATGATCTACAACTTTTGTATAGGATATTTTTTTGTTTGACGTCAACTTTCGCCAGAAATCCTAATGACTCAATTTTTCACTACTTTTCAACCCCCCCAAATTAACCCTCCGCCGCCCCTGCTCACGCATGTATTTTTTTTCGTTTATTATAAGCCCCTTTACCATTTCCACTTATAAAGTCCTCACAATTTTCTTTTTTTCCCCTCTAAATGAGTTATTTCGATCGGTCTATATTGTGTAAGTGCATATATCTTTAACTTTCATTTCTTTTCTTAAAAAACGTCAATTTTTGAGGGATTATCCCCGGCTTCTTTTGGAAAGATATTTGAAAAGTTGATAGGGAGTTCAAGATTTGATTTTCGTCAAATTTTAAGAGATACAAGATGCTTTTCTTTATTTTCTTTTTCGTGACGTCCATATTAACTTGTAGATGATTTCAACGTTTTATATTTGATTAAATTTTTGAGTAAATGTGAATGTCTTTCGTAGAGGTGATAAGTTTGAAACGGCTTCTACGGTTACCGTTGATTTTTGACAATATACTCGTATTATCAAAAATTACCGAAATATGTATATTCGACACTGCGAACTACATGGTATTAATTATTATATTATCAATGAATTCCCGAAATTTATCCTGCGAGCTGAAAATATAAATACGTACTAAATCCGACTCATAAAATCGTCGCCTCAATCCACAACCGAAAATGAAACTAATAAACCTATATATCGAACCCATTAAATTCCAACGACTGTGCTTCGCAACCCTAGTTCCTACGCTGAGCTCCGAACAAATCAAATTAGTCCAATAAATGTAGAGGAATAAAACAATTATGAGAATTTTTATGGGTGTATACACTCGAGCGTTTTTTATTTGAATGTGGACGTGTGATGCGATTCATTAATCATTTTTACGTCTTTGTCAACTGACCAGAGCGGCACTAACGGATTATTTTTCACAGGCGCCGACGACTCGTTGAATAATTTTAATTTCGACGCCTGATTTTAAACATTCCAGTCTTTTTTAAATACTTCATTATGTCTACTTTCATATTTGTGTTAGTTATTAATCAATAACTAATAGAGATCATACGGGAAGTAGTTGTCGATATTTTAAATGGAACTCCCTATAAATTATTGCATTATTCACAAAATACATCGAAAGTGTTAAGGCGTTCCCATATCTAAATCTAACCATTTTCGAGATAATCGACATTTTACAAAAATTTTGACAGATGCTTTTCGATACACACAAAAAACATAACACTATTAGAATCACCTGCAGAAAATTATATAGATTTTGAAAACTTGAAACCGACAAAGCTTTTTAAATTCAAATGGAACACCGTGTATTTTTGGCACTATATAGGCAATACTCCTTTTGGAAATAAATCTTTAATTGGGTATATATTATAAACCCACTTAAAAAAGCAGACCCTAAGCACGTCTTAATTTTTAATCGCATGCAAATGGAATGAATGGGCGTCGTTAATATTCATAGTCTTGTTAGTTTATTCAATAGGATTCTCGTACGCAATGCCTATCCTCGACCAAAGCAGACAAAATATCCTGGGGCGTTCGGTTCTCGGTACATGAAGATGTGGTGCACGTAATACGCTGTGGATTAATCAAGGACTAATTAAAATTTTATGCATTGGTTCTGTAGCGAGCTCTTGTCAAGGGCTTTTCTTTGTGAAATATTATTTATAATTCTTTCTATACATACAGCTAAACGTAGTTGTGGTTTGCTCCGTTTCAAGAATACGTTACTGATAAACTGAAAATGTGTATCCGTTTTATTTAGCTGATTTGAAAATTTGAAGTAATATACAAATCAAATTGGCACTTTACCGCATGAATTGTGTGTGTCGTAAGAAACGCAGTTTTTCTAAACTCATATTCATTTAGTAAAACTTTCCTTTTCTAAACTTGGTGTTTAATAAACTGCTTGAAAAGCTATTGATTTAAGAATAATAATTGTATTTTATGCAATTTATTATTATCTTCGTACGTGACAACTAGTACATCATTATAGGTATACTTGAAAGTCTTGAAACAGGAAATAGACAATAAAACTGACATATTTCTAAACTGAACGGGAAGTATGTATATAAATTTTTATTTGTTAGTCGATTTAAATATATGTATTTTTATAATTGACGCGTTTCAATGATTATATTGGTGCCAAATTTCAGAACGATATTAAAAATTTGAAGTCAACAAATAACAGTTTTAGAGTAATATTCTTTTTTCAAACAGATCAACTAATAAATAAATCTTACATATTTAACGGAATTATCCTAAAAAAAATTTGAAATTTCTCCATTTCTCTCACCACGTACAGAAAAATTAAACTATCTACTATTTTGTAAGCTAATCGCATTTGGCGTGCAAAAATGAAGCGTCGACGGGTAATAGCTCCAGTGACGCGGACATTTCCATAGCAAATGTGGCGGAAAGCCAGCTCGTAATCGCTCACCTATTTTGACGACAGGAGGCAAGGCTACTGCGACCGCGAGCAGTCCGGTGAACCCCAGCGCGGCCCCCCAGCTGCCCGGCTGCATGGCTCATGGCGCCAATCCTCCGGCAGGGACGACCTTATCAACCATCTCACTTCCCTCGATCGGACCGCAGTTCACTCTGAAAAATTACATCACTACTGTAGGGTTCTGAAATATTAGAATGGGAGAGGTAGTGACGGATTTTCGGTTGCGATTTTAATCGGTATGTCTTTCATTCACACATTCTCGTGAAGAAATAGGCCAGGAAACATAGAGTTGGACGCGACTTTTTGTTTCGGCAAGCTGAATTTACCACTATAGATGCTAAATATTACGTACAATAACATATTAGTTTCCACAGTCATAAAAATGGGGGAAAGATTGTTTACAGGGTGGTTATTTTACATATTCGGAAATGAAAAGAGCTTTAAGTTAAAAAAAAATCGTCAAGATTCATTGAAAAAAACAACGGAGTTAGAGTTGTTTCAAAATCATATGAGCTTTAAGAATTATGCGGATACGCCACGCCTTTCGCGCATTTCGCGGCTCCTGAGATATTGAATCTACTCTACAGACTGTCAAATATATTCCAGCGAATTTCGCTTTTTTAACGGCAGGACTATGAATATTATCGGCCTTTTCTTCAGACTCGCTGTCGTTCACTTCCCCCACCCTTCCGCCGCGCCACGGCTCGCCGAAAAATCAAGCGACCCACTGACTTTTGACAATATTTCTTATGCATTTAACATACTTCCACAAATAAAATATTTTTATCTGGAAAAGTACTGGGATTGCCGGTTATGACAGTATATTTTTTTGCCGCTACCAACCTAATTTGTTTAACAATAGGCCGTCAACTTTGACAGTCTCCGTTATTTTTCAACGAATCTTGACGATTTTCTTTTAACTTAAAGCTCTTTTCATAAGCTTTCCAAATATTTTAATTTGAAGTTGATCATTTTTATAGTAGGTATCTGTACAAGGGTCAAATTCGGTCTGTTCGATTTCAGCTATGACAATTTGATGCGGATTGCCTAAATATGTGACGTCACACTAAAATAGTCTATTGTTACCCTTAGCCAAAAATTCTCTACGAATATATTTTTCATCTTCAACTGTCAAAGTTCGATTTTTGAGACATACCGAGAGATCCAGAATGATTGAAGTGTTTGGGGAACACAGCCTGATTCTAAAACCATCTTTAACATATAAAAATCTGTAGTATTGACAAAGACAGGCACAGGCTGCGATCTCCAAACACTTCAATCATTCTGGATCTTTCTGTATTTCATATTTTCAGTGTCTGCTGTATAAGACTGCCACAATAAAGAAAATTACTTACATTTTAAACTGTTCATTTAAACAACTTTTGTGTCAGTACAAAAATACAGTACATTACTGAAATATGTAACGTGTGAAGGAAATGCACATTATTCCGCATGTGGAAACGTTTACAAGATCTCAGAGAGGTGTTCTAGAGGTGAAATATCAGTTGAATGTGTTCGCTATTATTTTGATGTGTTTATCTTTATGGATACATTCATCTGCACCTTTCAAGAAATAAGGCATATTTATCCACATTGTTTTCCAGTAAGACAGCTACTAGCTCAGAAAATATTTGTCGAGATGCTCTCAATCTCCTAGTCGCCTGGTTGACTGGCAACAACATGCAAAAATATGAAGTAGGTACCATCTATTTTTCAAAAACAATATCTTTTAGTCGCCATAAAATAACATACAAACGGAAAATGTGATTTTAAGCGATATAATCTAAATTTTAAACTTTAAAAACTTATTCTACTAATAATTTAATATACCTAACTACCCAAATAAGAGATCACATATATGAATGAGAAAAGCTAATGTCAAAATATTAATTGTTTAAGTGTCCATATTAAAAAAATCATAAAATATGAATTGCAGTTTATCACATAACGAAAATTTGTTTTCATAGTTCTATTTTACTTTCTACTGACTTTCTGTCACATAACTAACTAATAAAATAATTCAATTTTAAAACACGGAGGTCGAACGGAGATATAACTTTCATGCATTTTGGCATGGAATCAAAGAATTCCTGATCCTGCAGTTTGCTTTCAGAACGGAAACATGTACATTAAAATTATAGCCTGAAGCTGCACAGCTTGAGATGAACATAAATCTTTAAATAAAAGAACAGCCACACGGCTTAATCTAGATTTGGATAATTTACCGTTACGTTTGCTTCACTATTTTACATATTTATTTACGCCGGGAGCTTTAGTAATACCAAAACTTGTTTACAAAACATTTCGCCTCACTAGCAAAACGTTTTGTTTTTGTAGACATTCGTCTTTCGATGATAAAGCTAACGTGAAATTAAAGAAATAATTTAATACAAATTCGACAAGGCTTTAGTGCAAAGAAATGTATTTCTAACCTAATAAAATTCGGTCAGTATAATGAAGCGAAATTCACATTTCGAATTGTCATAATAATCAATGGGCGGATGGAAATCCAAGAACAGTTTTCTCTGAATGTTTGGGCAGGCATTGTGGGCGATTACTTGTTTGGTCCCTACTTTTTACCTAGAACCCCCGATAGTAGAACTTATCAAAGGTTCCTACAAGAAGAATTACCACCACTTCTAGAAGAAGTGCTATTGAGGTTACGTTAATTATTGTGGCATATGCATGATGGGGCGCCACCTCACTACAGCTTTACCGTTAGACAGTTGCTGAATGATCAGTATCCTAACCACTGGATTGGTAGAGGACGACCCATTGCTTGGCCGGCTCGTTCCTCCGACCTAAATCCCTTGGATTACTTTTTTGGGGGCTACCTTAATACTATGGCATATCGTACTCCAGTTTCCAATGTAGAAGTACTTCTACAGTGCATTGTAGAGGGTTTCGCAACCATACAATACGGTTTGGAATTATGAAGCCTGTAAGACGATCAATGCGGAGACGCTGCGCAGCATGCATTGCATCCTAAGGACAACATTTTGAACATTTCTTGTAATTTGAAATTTATTGTTACACATTTAGCAATCAATAAAAAATGGTAAATAGCAACGTAGGTACTTAAATATCTTCTTATTTGATTTCCCAGTTATCTAACGACCAGTAAATACGAATACTTTACAAGGATACTTTATTGCCATACATTGATTGTACATTTTAAAAATATTTAAAATTATTAAAAAAACTAGTGGCGTACGATTTTTTTTCAAAAAAGGTCCCCTACTCCCCCAATAACTACGCCACTGGAGTGTATTTTGGAATAAGTTATCCATGAAAAAATAGTCCCTTCTAAAAAAATGTCATCTCCCAAATATTATCACTCAATCTTTTATGCAAGTGAAGTTACAGGAAAAATAATATCCGTAGAGAAGAGTTCTGTCAAGAATTTGTATAAGGCAAAACTTGATTATTTTCATCGGTAGAATACGGCATTAAAGTTTGGCAAAACTTATCATTAACACCCTGTATAATTTCGAAATTGCAGAACACATATTTTTGGGTTTAGTATTTATGTAAAAAATAAATATCTGCTAAAATTATCTTAGAACAATGTTATTTTATATGAATAACATAAGAGGTTAGATCAAATTATTTAAAATAATTTTGACATGCTTTCGAATTATATATAGCAAATAAACCAATGTGAGATAAAATATATTACAAATGTAAACCTGCCTTTATTTAATCTTTATCTTATTTTAACAGTTTGTATGTAAAATATAAAGGGACATTATACATTTTTGTTAGTTTAGGCTATTCCTATATTTGCGTGTATTTAATAGCTTATATTTTAACGGTTTGTACTTTCATGGATATACACGGACTCCTAATTCTGGTAATACACAGCATAGCTACGAATTGTGAAACTGTTTTTTTAAGAATAACTTCTTAAAAACCGTATGATCTTAAGAAAAACAAAAGTGAATATATGAATTTTTAAATATCCTATTTGAGTATATTACAAACATACAGTACATTGAAAATATCGCAAAAAATCATTCAATTTTTTAAAGAATAATAAATTTTGTGTAGTCGGTTTTGTTTATCAAAACCTATCTCCCACTAAAAACATTCCCTAAGAGCATAAACACCCTACATGTTACACTCTGTCTTACACTCCAATAAGCTTCATATCTAGTTGAAAATCAATTTTCGTTAACTTTCTATCCCTCACGAACTCACAGCTTTTAGTGTGTTGGATTTCAAAGCACTCGAATCGAATTTTTGTGCAGCGAAAATAAAAAGAACTTGAATAAGGTGACATAGAAAGATCGCCAAAAAACTACCAAACTTAATAATATAATAACAAAACCCTGTTTAATTAATATTTGACATGACTTTCTTCTAGGTTGTTCTACCATTTTTGTTATTGTGGTAGTAAAATAAATATTTACCTTATTTAATAGATCAAAAATTATATATGGTGTGATGTGTAAGTAGAAAAAACAACGCATTCAAGGACGGCAGTTAACAACTAATAAAAATAGATGATTTTAGTAGTTTTTCCACTTATTATGCCTTGGCTTATGTACCTAATCATTGAGCTGCCCTTGTTATTCTTGGGCTAGGCTCTGTAGGGGCGTATCAGCTATCGGACTGCCCGATATTGATTTCGGTTGTCGTTGTCGAAGGACATAATTGTTCCTCAGACAGTAGTGGACCTCTGAAATGATTTCATAACAAGCTAGGAGGATCCCAATGCCATTATATAATATACGAACTTTATAATTTGCAATACTTTGGAAAGAATCCAATTTTTCAAATTAAACCAAACTCGTTACAAAATATAATCACCTTGAAAGGTATGTTTTTCCAGAATTATATAACAGGAACTCTAATAAAGAGCATTATCTTCCACGCAAACGAGGCTCATTATTCCAAGCCTCAATTTAGGCGAACGGTGTAACGTTATTACATAGAAATGTAATATCCCTAAGTAATGCGGGAAGCGTAATTTATTTTTAACAGAAATGTGCATCCGTGTACAGCAGAGTACCCGCTGAGAATTGAAATTGTCTTCACAGGCGTATAAGCGTTTCATCTTTCAGTATAAACCAACCGCTGTTGCAATTTCCACCAGTAGCCGCCTGGTTTGCGGTCTCCTTTGTAACAGTGGTCGACATGTGAAAGGATT